AATGAGTAATGAAAGGGTAATTATCCACAAACAACGTCGTTTTAACAAGACTAGAGCTCTCAGGCAGACGTGGGCCTGGAATTTACGAAATAATTGGAAACCTTTAGTACAGTTTACCTCTAAATTATTAAAAAAAAACTTTAATCCCAGGAAAATATTGACTGATAATTACCTTACCAAGTGAAGTGTTCCACTATTTTGCTGAATATAATTGCTGATTGCTGAGTGTAATGACTCTAAGGTTTGTTTCGTCATAGTTACCTTTGAAGAAGGTATTGATACGTCAAAGAGGTTTCATATTTCCGACCAAGAAAATAGTAAACTCGAGGAGGCCTATGCAGTTTACTCTTCCACTGAGTCGTCAAATGCATTTTATTCATTAATAACAAGAATGTAGAAATCTATCCTGATATCACTGTTGTCTTCGTGTCCCTAGTTTCCCTCTATTTCGCTTCTTTCTGACTTATTTGGAACAAAGATATTTTTGTATTTATTTTGTTATCTCTTTATCGTTATCATCTCATCCCTCTACTATTTTTCTTTCAGTGTTGTTGTCAACTTTCCATAGATTTTTTATCGAAGCTCAAGAACGCGTATTTTGGAATCTTTTGTATTTTGTATCTTACAACCTTCTCTAGATGTGCATTTTGTTCCATTGCGGAGCTGCATGCTCGAGTGGGACTCAAGTTGCCTGCATACAGAAGACATTTGTCAGAGTGCTGACGGCTTGCTGGTCGTTGTTCAGTTCTTCAGTACACTGAACATGTTCTTCTGATGTTATGTTTGCGGTTAACTATTCCCAAATCTTTCTAAAAAGAAAGATTTTGACTGTGTATTAGTGTGGTGGGTGTGGACTGTGTAATAGTGTGGTGGGTGTAGACTGTGTAATAGTGTGGTGGAAATAGTGTTTCCACTACACATTTGCAATATTTCCACCGAGGTGAAGACAGGCGCTACACCGCCCTAACTGCGAACACCCGCAATAAGAGAGTCCCAAAGAGACAACTGGTATCCAACTGGAACTTTCAATCTCACGTTGGGTAGTGGTCGGTCTTTTACTCCTGTGGTCGTAAATTTCGACTCTTCGATGGTTCATGTGAATGAAATGATATTACCACGTTAATGTTAATTTATATGACTGGCCTGTGGATCATATAGTACCGAGCAGTACACCAGGAGAGATGAAAAGCCTCAATTGCATACCAGTTTGTGCCTTTGAGATCATCTCTTATTGTGGGTATTCGTAGTTAGATCGGTAAATAATCTCTTCTCTTCCACTCCTGTGGTTGAGAGTTCGAAGATCCGATGGTGCGAGTGGATATATATCTAGCCCTAGCTAGGAACATCTAGCCCCAGCTAGGAACATCTAGCCCCAGCTAGGAACATCTAGCCCCAGCTAGGAACATCTAGCCCCAGCTAGGAACATCTAGCCCCAGCTAGGAACATCTAGCCCCAGCTAGGAACATCTAGCCCCAGCTAGGAACATCTAGCCCCAGCTAGGAACATCTAGCCCCAGCTAGGAACATCTAGCCCCAGCTAGGAACATCTAGCCCCAGCTAGGAACATCTAGCCCCAGCTAGGAACATCTAGCTCCAGCTAGGAAGAACTAGCTCCAGCCAGGAACATCTAGCCCCAGCTAGGAACATCTAGCCCCAGGTCAGCAAAATCACTCAAAATATTTCATAATAAATCAAGGGAAGATAATATACTGTCAGAATTTCAGGAATTTAATAATTCAACGACTTAGGCAAGAAAATTTGGGTGTGAGCTCTGAGCATTATTCATAATATCATGTTGAAAATTAGAGGAACAATATCCCGCATAAGGTTAGAAAATTTCTTCGTTCAATTTCAATTAGTCCCAAATATATTCGTCATATTTTATGCACGAATTTTTTGTTAGTGTTGTATATGTAACTCTTATAATAAATGGCATTGTATTATGATACTTTTGTATATGCGTTAAAAAATCTGTGAAAGAGGCCGCCCGGTTCAAGGGAATTAAAGGAGCTGTATAGATGGATATACCACTGTAGGTGGGTATACCACTGTAGGTGGGTATACCACTGTAGGTGGGTATACCACTGTAGGTGGATATACCACTGTAGGTGGGTATACCACTGTAGGTGGGTATACCACTGTAGGTGGGTATACCACTGTAGGTGGGTATACCACTGTAGGTGGGTATACCACTGTAGGTGGGTATACCACTGTAGGTGGGTATTCCACTGTAGGTGGATATACCACTGAAGGTGAGTATTCCATGTCGGTGGGTATTCCACTGTAGGTGGATATACCACTGTAGGTGGATATACCACTGTAGGTGGTGCTGGCCTCTACCCATCATCACAGAGGGGAGCAGGATAACTAAGCTCCAACATAACCATCATTTATACAACACATTTCAAGTGATAACGTTTGTTAGGCATCAGGGTGAAGGACAGGAAAGAAAATATAATAAATGTTATTGCCGAGAGCACTGTTATGGGTGACACACAGGAGGGAAGGACGGGTGTTCACTTTGTGACACAGAGAAGGGAATGACGGGTGTTCACTTTGTGACAGAAGGGAAGGACGGGTGTTCACTTTGTGACACAGAGATCTAGGTGGGTGCTCTCACTCTCTAGGTGGGTGCTCTCACTCTCTAGGTGGTGCTCTCACTCTCTAGGTGGTGCTCTCACTCTCTAGGTGGGTGCTCTCACTCTCTAGGTGACACTCTAGGTGGTGCTCTCACTCTCTAGGTGGTGCTCTCACTCTCTAGGTGGTGCTCTCACTCTCTAGGTGGTGCTCTCACTCTCTAGGTGGTGCTCTCACTCTCTAGGTGGTGCTCTCACTCTCTAGGTGGTGCTCTCACTCTCTAGGTGGGTGCTCTCACTCTCTAGGTGGTGCTCTCACTCTCTACGTGGGTGCTCTCACTCTCTAGGTGGTGCTCTCACACTCTAGGTGGTGCTCTCACTCTCTAGGTGGTGCTCTCACTCTCTAGGTGGGTGCTCTCACTCTCTAGGTGGTGCTCTCACTCTCTAGGTGGATGCTCTCACTCTCTAGGTGGTGCTCTCACTCTCTAGGTGGGTGCTCTCACTCTCTAGGTGGTGCTCTCACTCTCTAGGTGGTGCTCTCACTCTCTAGGTGGTGCTCTCACTCTCTAGGTGGTGCTCTCACACTCTAGGTGGGTGCTCTCACTCTCTAGGTGGGTGCTCTCACTCTCTAGGTGGGTGCTCTCACTCTCTAGGTGGGTGCTCTCACTCTCTAGGTGGGTGCTCTCACTCTCTAGGTGGTGCTGGAAGGTGACAGGGAGTGTTTTGGCAGATGGCTTCGTAAATGTACACTCTCCTTGCTCTACTGGAAGGTGGCCCCAAGTGTAGCCAGGGACAGGGAGGCGCCCCCAGCCCCTGGAGCAGCTGAAGCAGCTCCCACAGCAAGAACCCCTCGCGGGTCCTGCCACCAGGAGAATCATGGCTCCAGCAGCTCGCATTTTTGTCCGAGTCTGACCATTCCTTCCCTGTTTTGTTTACCTCCACTGGGCCGAGGGTGGTGGCAGTGTTGTCACCAGCGGGTGGACGGGTGGTGGCAGTGTTGTCACCACGTCCAGTGATAATGGCCTCCAAGGGGTCTCTGGCGTTGGCTTTCGAAGGCTCGTATGTTTCCGGAAATGGGCGGGAATGAGGAGTCGGGATGTGCAGTTGGGGTCCACTTGGGGTCCTCTTGGGGTCTAGGTGGGGTCCACTTGGGGTCCAGGTGGGGTCCACTTGGGGTCCAGGTGGGGTGGTGGAGAGCGGTAGCAGCGTAAGCTGAGTATTACCCGGGACTATGGTATACTGTTGAGCCGACACGGCCAGGGTCAGTTATGGGTACTCTGAGGCTGTCCACAGCCTCGTTCTGTATCAGGCTGTGTCCTGCTGCCCACACAAACACAGACACATAGAAAGAGACACAGAGACAGAGACACACACATACAGACACTCTAAGAGACAGGAAGACATACAGAGAAAGATAGAAATGCAATCTGTAAAATAGACAGTGCCAGAGCGATGCAGACGCTGGACGACTGAGAGACAGACTGGCAAAGATCACCCACAGACAGACAAATGAACAGATTTATGCACATTGAGAGACAGAAACAGACAGATAGACAGCTATCCTAACAGAGAGAGACAGGTTGACAGAGAGCAGACACACAAAGAGAAGGAGAGAGAGAGACAGACAGACAAACCGGAAGGCTAAAATACACAGACAGGAAGAGAGAGCAGGGTGGCACAGACAGAAAAGTGGCACAGCCCTCAGGGGAGGCCGGGCGCCGCCAAGTATCTCACCAAATATTACACCCACACACACATACACACACACACACACACACCTAAAGGCCCAGTCATCGGCCACGACACACACACACCTGAAGGCCCAGTCATCAGCCACGACACACACACCTGAAGGAAAGTTGATCTTTGAGCAGATGACCACAAAACTTACCCTAACTTCACGTGAAGAAGTGTTTATGTATCATCACAACATTTACAACAGTGGGCAAGACACGAAGGGAATAGAGACGTTATACGTATAAGGTAATACGACCTTATAAGGTAATAAGGTATAAGGTAATACGTATACGTTAATACGATCTTATAGGTATAAGGTAATACGACCTCTCTCCTCCTCCTCCTTATTTTCATCATTCCTGGTTTACCCGCCTCTTTAGAGTGGAGCTCGGTTAAGAGCGTCATTAAGAGCGCCGCATAAACCATGCAGACCTACGATGTTATCAACGGGGCTTCCTTAATTACCCTAATGAGACGGGTCTTATCTGGTTGGCACCCCTGATGTGTAATATGGACCAGAGTAGGATGTGTGGTTGGCACCCCTGATGTGTAATATGGACCAGAGAAGGATGTGTGGTTGGCACCCCTGATGTGTAATATGGACCAGGGTAGGATGTGTGGTTGGCACCCCTGATGTGTAATATGGACCAGGGTAGGATGTGTGGTTGGCACCCCTGCAGGTCGAGGCATGGATGGCACCCCTGCAGGTCGAGGCGTGGATGGCACCCCTGCAGGTCGAGGCGTGGATGGCACCCCAGCAGGTCGAGGCGTGGATGGCACCCCTGCTGATCAAGGCGTGGATGGCACCCCAGCAGGTCGAGGCGTGGATGGCACCCCTGCAGGTCGAGGCGTGGATGGCACCCCAGCAGGTCGAGGCGTGGATGGCACCCCAGCAGGTCGAGGCATGGGTGGCACCCCAGCAGGTCGAGGCATGGATGGCACCCCAGCAGGTCGAGGCATGGATGGCACCCCAGCAGGTCGAGGCATGGGTGGCACCCCAGCAGGTCGAGGCATGGGTGGCACCCCAGCAGGTCGAGGCATGGGTGGCACCCCAGCAGGTCGAGGCATGGATGGCACCCCAGCAGGTCGAGGCATGGATGGCACCCCTGCAGGTCGAGGCATGGATGGCACCCCAGCAGGTCGAGGCGTGGATGGCACCCCAGCAGGTCGAGGCATGGATGGCACCCCTGCAGGTCGAGGCATGGATGGCACCCCAGCAGGTCGAGGCATGGGTGGCACTCCAGCAGGTCGAGGCGTGGATGGCACTCGTGCTGGACAGTTATCTGTTGCACATAACTCAGGCCAAGTGTGAGCTACGACTCCCCTCGCTGCTCCTCCAGCACCTTCCCCCCCCCCCACTCTACCTCCCGCCACTGTAAACTCTCCAACATTAATAACCCTGCACTCCGGGACCGATACCGGGGGCGTCTACCAGTATGTGGCCTCGACCATTAATCTTAAAGAAGCATTCAAATTTCTCAGAATATCAGGAGACATTATTAATCTTCCGTTACTTCCGAGCAACGCACTCGTCTTCAGTCTTAGGGGGAAGACAACGTCAATATATCAGCCTGCCTTGTTATCTTGGAAATATTAACACGGGCGGACCACTGATGTGTCCGTGTGCAACCCACATCTCTAGAGGCGCAATCCTTCGTGTTGCACGAGATAGGGTGACTGTTGCAGAGTGTGCAGCGACTGTGTGTAGTGCGCCAGTCTGGGGAGACCTGGAGGTATACACCACAGTCTGGGGAGACCTGGAGGTATGCGCCACAGTCTGAAGGGATCTGGAGGTATACACCACAGTCTGGAGGGATCTGGAGGTATACACCACATTCTGGGGGAGCTATTGTGGCCTCTGTAATCAAACCTCAGCTGGACTTTTAACATTAACAATTACCTTTAACTAGCACAGACAACTTGCACTCAATTGTAATTCAAATGCATGCTATAGCACACTTTGCGAATTGCAACATCTGTGTATTTACAATATATTATTATACATTTGAGGCAAGTCCTTTGTAAATCATTCAATGAAAGACTTCATTCTTAATGAACAATTTTGGATATTAAAGGATATTGGATGAGTTGCTGTTTATGAATTAGCTTACATCACTACACAGCTTATAAATTAATCACACATCAGTCACCTAACTACTGGAAGGGAAACATGAATTCATGTTTCGTGTAACGATTTCAGATATTTTATCATTTGTAACAAGAATTCATCATTTCAAGCAACGTGAGTTTAGATTTATCTCTTAATGTCTTAATTCTTTTCCCATTGTAAATCGTACTGCTGTAATGTGTATCCCAATGTTTATCTGCACTACCTGTTGCTTCATCTTGAGCATAGTACATGTCGAACTACCAGAGGTAATCCATAGGAGCCGTCATGAAGATTCGAACTTACTAGGGTGTTCCCAGGCATACGCCCTAGCCGACTAGGCCACGACATGGCGCCTTCATGATGGCGTCTACGGATTTGTTCATTGAAGCCTCATGATAGTGTGATGACTCTCTGTGTCTGCCAGTAGCTACGTCGCAGTCCACCTGTCACGTCTCAGCCTAGTGATGATGTTACTTGACGCATACACGTGTTTTGTTTGTTACTTGACCAATACAAGTGTTTTGTTTGACACTTTTATATATGATAAACAATAGATATGCTAGTTTCTGTTTGCACTGTTCTACCGTCGTCAAATTCATCAGATCTCGTATAATGACACTCTTTTTTTTAGATTTGTTTGATAGAAACAACCTAGAACATAATCTTGGGCTGTGTACTTCAAGCTAAGGAAGGGCATCAACGTTGGGTTCCTGGCGTGAGACAGTATCCACGACACTCTAATTTTGAGCCCTTAATAAATATGCATATAAATATATATATAATATTTATGTCTGGCTTCGGAGACATGAACGTCACAATTTAATTATAAGGTATTTAATGCAAGTAATGAGGAAGGAGTCACTGAAATAATTAAGTTGTCTTCTGCAGTGTTTTCAATAATTCTTAGTTCTACAAGGATAACCAAGAGTTTAACTTGTAAGGTGGATGCCCAATTAAATTTCTCTCAGTTGAGAGGTTGTCGGGTTGAATCCTAGGCGTGTTCATACGATGTTGAGAATCTTCCTCCGCTTAATTGGTCCCTACGAGCTCAGCAGTAACCAGATTCCAGGACATAAATTGGTTGCAGATCGTCTTGAAAAATCATGTAGGGACGGGTAAATAATACATATGAAGAAGATTAGAAACAGTTGTTTTTCCTATGTGGCTGGGAGCGTCTGAGTGTTGATTGTCTAGGAGCAAGAGTGCATCCATTGGGGTCAGTGAGGGGGATGAGAAGTTTGGGTCTCGGAAACATTGTTGAGTTTTTCATCTTTTTTTAGTATTTTTGTTAAGGCAGCCATAGAGAGAGATAGTATTTGCAGACAAGTGGGAGACAATAATGGACTCGGAAACAGGGAACTAAACTTTGCTGATGCATTTGTTTTGTTTGTCGTATATGAAAGCAAGGAAGAAAAAGAAGGAAATATTGTTCCCTGTTCCTTGACCTTCCTGCTAAAACCGCTCCGACACCTCTTTTTGCGAGCGTGCGTGTGGAATTAACTTCTCTCTCGCCCTGTAAAACTTTTGATCAATAAACCTTTTGTGCGAAGCTTGAGGAGACAAAGAGTAAAGTGTTGTGAAGAAGCTGGCTCAGCACCGCTGCCAGCCAGCAAGTGGCACTGCTGTCCTCTTCACTGCTGATGGTAATGTTGCTGCTGATGCTGATGCTGCTGGTGCTGTTGGTACTGGTGCTGCTGATGCTCGTGTTCATGGTGCTGCTGCTGGTACAGCTGTTAATGCTACTTCAGATGTTGAGACTGCTGCTGCTGTAGCGAGGAGGAACCACTGGAGACCCTCTACAGGTGTGGCCATCAAGGATCAGGACAGCGCCTCCTTGGTACATGCTTCAAGTAGGCGCAAATGTTTACACTCTGGGATGTCAAGCTGAGTGTAAAGTTAATCATAGTTAACTTTGTCCATCACCACTCCAATTTTGCCCTCCACGGGCACATTGGTGAACAAGAGAGTACTATGTAAACAACACCTGTCAGCGGCCTGTGTCTCTACGTCGACATTGATATATGAACTGGTGAAAAGGTGGCACCTGCATGCTAATTCCTTTGGAGATTTAAGCTGAAAGCACAAGGCAGGTATGGAGTTAGTTATACAGGCAGTACCTGGGCGTGGGGTGTCTATCAGGCTTCCAGGATTGTTGGCAGGTCTGGCCATAGACATGTTCAAGCTCGTACTCACTGGAAGCTTCCCTCGGGTGAGGTCTAAACCTTTTTGACATTGACAAATAATATCAACCAATCAGATTGTTATTGCGAACCATTTATTATTATTATTATTATTATTATTATTATTATTATTATTATTATTATTATTATTAGGAAGAGGGCCAGGGTGGGCTCGACCCCCAACCCGTCATTAGACCTACACTGGAGAAGAGATTTATGGTCTACCCTCGATCACTTGTTAATTATTGCCATCAGTACATCAATTATGGCCTAGGTCATTACTCTCCTCCCCTCCCTCCCTCCCTCCCTCCCTCCCTCCCTCTTCCTCCCCCATTCCCATTCCACCCTCCTACCTCCCATTCCACTCTCCTACCTCCATCCCTTCTCCCTCATCTCCTCCCTGTCTCTCTCCTCCTCAGTCACACTCTCTATCTATCCTTCCTTTTACCTACACTATCCCGTGTCTCCCTCCTCTTCCCCTTCCTCCCCTCCCGTTCATTCTCTCACTATACACACCCCGTTACTCTTCCATCTTTCCCTCCTCACAGAGACCCCTCCCGTAGCCCTTCCTCTCCCCATATCTTCCCTTACCCTACCCACTCCCCCTTATCCTATCCAATGCCCCTTTGCTTACTGTACCCTCCCCTTTAATTTCCTTTCTCCTACTCCCTATCTTACCCATCTGCTCCACTTTCATTTACCCTTCCCCAGCTCCCTAACCCTTCCGTCTCCCCTCCCACTACTGACCTAATCTTTCCCTCCACCCTCCCACGCTCCTCTGGCTACTTGTGTCTCAGGTTCCTCGTGTTGTTACTTGCTTCCTCCTCCTTCTCTATCTACACCTGTTCTTCTCCAATCTTCCTTCTCTATCTCCCTCTTTCCTTCTTTCATTTTTACTCTCTAGTGTTTCATTTTAGTCTCCTTTCCCGTCACCTTTCCTTCTGATGACAGGCAAAAAAAAGCTAATTTTGCCCTCTCTAATATGGTCTCGAGAAAGGGTTACACTAAAGTGTTTAAGTGTATGAAAAAGTTTAAGTTGAGGGGACATGAAGATGGCGCTGAGGGTGTTACCCACAAGCACAACACGACGTTACTAAGTAATTTATTATTATTTTCTACTTTAGAAATAAATAGATCATAACCAGGTTGACAATGTGGTTGGAAGTGTGTGAACAGACACACCTACTCGCCACACCTGGCTGGAGCGTGTGTTAGACACACACACCTGCTCGCCACACCTGGCTGGAGCGTGTGTTAGACACACACACCTGCCCGCAACACCTGGGAAATATATAAGCGCTGCCTCCCTGGGGAAATAAATCTCGCGCACACCATCTTGTTTTATGTTCATAAGACACATATATACATCGACATCTGTGCCCCACTTTTTCCTCGATGCATATACAGTGTTGATGTTTTCCTTGATGAATATACATTGTTGATGTTTTCCTTGATGCATATACATTGTTGATGTATGTATGTTATGTTACTGAATGTGGTCAGGGGTCTGATCTATGATTCTAGCACGAATCTTTTTCCATGTGTCAAATGTGATTCTTCATTTGAGGAGGCAGGTATTTATGAGGCATGTCTTTATTTATATATGTATATATATATATACATATATATATATTATATATATATATATATATATATATATATATATGTATATATATATATATTTAATAATTATTATTATTATTATATATGTGTGAATATATGTATGTTGTTGAATATAACCGAAAGGGTATGATTAGTGTTTCTCACACGAATCTTCTCAATATTTCTTACGTTTTCCTTCAGTGTCGAGGGAAGTTGAAAAATCAACTCTCCAAAGTTCATTTTTACACTTTATTTTATAGTCTGACGCCTGGCGCTACGTTTCGCAAAGTACACATTACATTTCTAGGACAATTTTACCGTGTTTAACATAGGATTATATACTCTTTGGGTGTGGTGGTCGATGAATGCCATAAGAAGGGGGTATTAAAGATATCAATGAATTAATGGATCAAGGGGGTT